AGAGGGGAGTTGTGAGGATTAAATGAGATCACCTCCAGCAGCACTCAGCACCTCCTAGAAGACACTCCATGGATGTAATTGAGATAAATATGCCCCAGAAACACTGTCTATGTGGGGCTTCTCTACTCCACACTAGGACATCTGAGGCTTGAGGCCTGATTGTTCCTTTTTTTTTTTTTTGGAGGCACTACTGGGGTTTAACCTCAGGGACTCACACTTGCTAGGCATGTGCTCTCTACCACATTTGGGGTATTTTCAAGATAGTGTCTCCCAAACTATTTGCCTGAGCTGGCTTCCAACCTTGATCCTCCTTATCTCTGCCTCCTGAGTAGCTAGGATTATAGGTGTGAGCCACCAGTGCCCAATTCTGATAATTCTTTGAGGAAGAAAACTGTCCTGTGCCTTGCAGAACATTTAGCAGCATTCTTGACTTCTATCCACAAGATGCCAGTAACACCCTTTCCCCACCCCAGTGAAAAGTTAAAATATTTCTAGACATCTCAGTCACCCTCTGAGAACTACTGTTTTACAGGAAAACAGCAGACAGTCACAGCTAAAACACCAGGCCCCTCTCCTGCTGCAGACCAGTTGGTGGGACTGGGGTCTTCTCTCCCCCTCACCTGCTAAGGTGCCCCAAAACTAGCTCCAAGTCATCAGTGATCATGCAGGTGTTTCTGGGAATGTGGAGAGGTGGGGGGGGGGGGTCTCTGAATGGATAATGAAGCAAGCAGGGTGAGGGAGAGGGAGTAGAAGTGAGGCTCCTACTCCCACCTCACTGACCACCTGCAGGAAGAGCAGGACCCCCTCAGGAGCAGCCAGGTGCTGCACTCTCTCCCCTTTCCCCCTTCTGGTCAACAAGGAGTAGATAAGCAATGGGACCAGGCTATGGGCCGAAAGTAGGGCAAGGAGGTGCACCAGGGCACAGGGAGCAGTCTAGGCATCATTTGGACACAAAGCTGGGACAAACCGAATTGGATCTGTCCCCAAACTTCCTAATGTTGTGATCTTTAGTAAGCACCATCCCCATTCTACTTTCTTTACCATTCTCTTAACTTTTATTTCTGCATTTTATTCATTTATTTGTTAAATGAGTATGTACCAAATACCTATTGTATGTATGGCCCTGTATTAGGCCCCTAAAGGTGTTTTTACTTATTTCAGAGTGATTCCTTTTCAAGGAGGGAGTAAGAAAGATACTAAATAAACAAAAGGCAAGGTCCAGCTGGAAAATTATCACATATCCAATTGTAAAAGTAACATACATCATACACACAGCTAGGGAGTCACTCCGCCATACACAGAATGCTGAGGGAAAGAGTAATAAAATACAATTTCTTCAATTTTTCAACAAATGAGCTGCCTGAACTGACGTTAAACAGGCAGAAGGAAAAGTCAGCCTACACCAAGAGCACCACAATCCTGCCAGCCGACCTTGACCACCAAGGGTATGTGGGTCAAAGGGCAGTTCAATACAAGGGCTTCTTTTCCCAAAGGAATACATCCGACCCTTCCTCAATCAAACCAATTCTAAGTTTTCTTCTTGCATTTCATGGGCATTATCTATTTCCTTTGTTCCTTTCTGGGCAACTAGTCCTGACATTAGAAGCCACACCCTTCCGCCACTCTGGGAGTGTGTAGAAAGGGTCTATGCAGGGCAGAACACAGAGTCATGGACTGTCACTCATTCAAAAAACAGCAAGGCCAACAAAATCATCCAGATCATCCAAAGGTGAACCCAAGAGCCAAGCCAGGTCATTGCTGTAAACACATCTGCTAGGGAGCAAACACTGGCGGAGAAATGAATTGGCTTGCAAAGTCTCTCTTCATTCCAGGAGCTGGGGGAGGGACTGAGCTCTTCATTTACTGATTTAGAGAGGAATCCACAAGCAATTCTTGTATGGTAAACTTAAGCAGCACCATTTAACACAAAATGGTATCTCAGAATTAACCACAGAAGTAACTAAGACAGGTGAGACATTTCATTTTCTGCTGTAGGACCTGTCATTTGAGATTCACACAGAACTCAAAGCAGTGCTTCTGAGCCTGAAGCCTGGTAGCAGTCATGGTCCCAAATCATGGTTCCAGTCCAACTGGAACCAGTCCGAAACCAAGACTTGGGAGTTACAGTTTCCTGAGTGCCAGAGGGTGAGTGGCGTATCATAGGAAGGAAAAGGGCCCCCAGCCTGCTTGAGATGGGTGTCGATGGCTTGAGGTGAGCACTGGGACATTTTTGGATGCCTTGCTCAAGCACTCCAAGGTTGGGGCAAACCCAAGGCTGCACTGCCTCCAGGTCCTTTGCTGAAGCCGTTTCCTTAAAGCAAGCACAAAGCCAGGGATGGAGTTTCCCAATCATCGCATGAAGGGCCACCCCACGGCCCCAAGGACCCTCCATTAATAATCCCCCGGCCTTCTGACCTCAGAGCCCATTTAAACTGCCAAACACCTTTCAAAATGGAGTGAAATCGCAGGCGCGTGACCCGTGCTTTGTTCCTGCGTTGGGCTCACAGCGCTCGTCCCCGCCGGTCTCCCTCAACGGACAGAAGGTGACATCTTTGCCCGAGGGGTCACAACGGCAGCCTTTGTCCCAGTCTTCCTTCTCCAGGGCCACCCCAAGATCCTCTCTCCGTCTGGTATGGGATCCTGATGGGCAAGATCTGGGAGGTGTTTGAATCCATCCAACACGCCCGCCACGGGCGCAGCCTTGCAGTCATGCACGCAGGCCGCAAAGCGCCCAGGCTCCCTCCCCAGACCACGCCACAGCAGGTGAGCGGTGGCCTGCTCCCAGAGGGCTCTTCACCTCGAGCCAAGACATTTCTGGGATTCAGATCAATCTGGGCGGCTCGCATGGACGATTCGGCTTCTAAAATGTGCATCGATCTCAGAACTGCACCCCCGCACCAGTTCTCAGCTACACAATTGACCAGAAAACCGCTCCGACCAGGCTTACTACAGGACAGCTCCGCTACTCCTGTTTCACCCGGAGTTCGCCACCCACCCCTCTCAGTTTCAAGGGCTGCACTTTTCATATGCCCATAATAATGAAAATACATAGGGACGCCTATCTTAGTGTGGTTGTTGCCGCCGGGCCAATCAGAATGAGCCACAGTGGATCAGGCATTCCCTCCCGCATCCTCCTGGAGGCCAACCCAGCGCCAAGCCACTACCCTTGGGTCCAGGACCTCCGTGGGGAAAGGGGCGGGGTAACGCCCTGAGGTCCCTCCTCTGGAGGCGTGTGGTTCCCCTGGCAACCCCCATTCAGTGTTCCCCTCAGTGGGCTCCAAAAGATGGGTGTGGCCGCAGAACCCGAGAGGACCTTAAGCCCCCTCCTCATACTCTCCTGCCTGGCGAAGCAACAGGGCATAAAAGCCGGGAGGGGCGCTGCCTGCGGGTTCTCCTCATCCCTGGTTGGCCAGCCCTCCTAGCTGGGAAGCCTGGTGGGGTGTGGCCCCAGGATGCTGCGGGTGTAGGGAGGGGTGTGGTTCCTTTACTGCCACCCCGCACCGCACTCAAGACCTCGAATCCCATCCCTTCAGCCCTACTAACGCGTCCTGACGTAGGGCCGAACTCCTGGAGACGGCTGTCGGGGTCAACGCCCGTTCCGCGTATACCCTGGGGCTGTGACTGCCCGGAGATCCAACAAAGGGTCAAAAATGGGGGAAGAAAAAAGGGTGGAGTTGCGGAGGCGTTTAACTAAACACCCTTATAGAATAAAAGCCAAAACGCAGATCACAGATCACGTAACCCTTACAAACAAAGCAGCGAGCTCCCTTAGAAAATCGCGGGTGAATGCCCCCAGTGCTCACGCCTGCAGCAGCAAAGCGTCAAGATTTCAAAGCTGGTTGCCCTCTCCCCTGTCCTCCAAAGCCCGGCCACCAGACTTGGCACGGTACGATAAAGACGTGATACGCCGCAAAAAGATGGCACCTCGCGTTCAGAGGGGGAAAAAACGGGGGAGGGGTGGGAGTGGGAGGAGGCACATCCTCCGCTCCCCCTCCTCGCCCACCCAGGTCCACACCCACTGCCGCAGTGAGGGGCGAGCCCTGCGCGCCAACCCGCGCCTCCGGCAGGGAGCGCACAAGCTGGGCGCCCGGCGCAGAACGCAGAGAAAGGAACCCGCCCCGAAATGCACCTGCACCCCCGCACCAGTCTGTGCAGGGCTGCGGCTGTGCCCCTCTGCGAGCCAGGCGCGAAGGGCGTGGAGTCGGCTCCCATCGCAAGGCCAGGTGATCCCTGCCTTTTCGAGCTTCCACCTCGGGATCCGCGCACTATCTTCTCTCCCGCACAGCGCTGCTCCAGGCTCACACGAGAAGCGCGCAGGGGGAAGGGCAGCTGGTGACAGCGCCTAGACCCCTCCCCATCTCCCGGATTCTTCCCAGCCCCCAAATGTCCCCTGCCAGTTTCTGAAGGAGGAAAAGGGGAGGGGGCGAGCCACCGCCTTAAATCAGGGGCAGCGAAGGCCCCGTGGGAATCACTGACTAGGAGGTGTAGGGAGAGATATGTGGGGAGTCATCTTTTCTAGAACCCTATCCGTATCTTCCTTCGAGCTGACAGCAAACAGGGGTAGAGAAATCCGATTTCAGATTCGGTTTTGAGTGTCGTCATTAGAACCCCTCCAAAAAAAAACATAGACCCACGCCCATTGCGGCAAAAGGCTGAGATTGAGAGTAGAGAAGACCCCTCCCCTAGGTCACCGCCATCCGTGCCCCACCCTAGGGGCACAGCCTCCCCCTCTCCAGGGTTTGTGCGAAGCGGGTCGTGCGGACCCCAACACACACAAACACCGAAACACGCACTCACCCGCGTGCGTGCATCCCTTGCACGCGTTCCTTTCCAGGCCTCCCCAGTCCCAGCCCCCAAGCGCTGAGGACGCAAGGAGGGGCTCCGCCGTTGCCCCCGACCGATGCCCAGCTCACTAAACCCACCTCTGGGGCGAGGGGCAACGGTTGGGGGTTTGTTAGAGGGGCGAACGGGGAGGCAAATTTCGGAGCCTCGGCGCTTACCTGATAGTCTACAGAAGGCGAGGACAGAAGAGGGCAGTGGAGGAGATGGTGGCTGTGGCGGCGACGGCAGAAGGTGGGCGGTGGCGGCGGCGCTGCTGCTGGTGGCGGAGGTGGTGGGTGGCGGTGACTGCGAGTGCGCGCGCCGGCGACAGAGCGCGTTCCCGAGGTCGGCGGGCGGCGCAGGCGCGAGCCGCGGGAGCGCGAGCCTCCCTAGGGGAGGGGCGGGCAGCAAGACCTTCACCGGCACCTTTCCCTCCCGCCACCAGTGGGCGCGCGCGAGCGCCCCACCGCTCGGCCCTCCCGCTGCGCGGCGCCTGCCTCGCGGCTCTCGGCGCTTTGCTCCCGCTGTCCTACTCCCGCCACGCCTCGGGCCGCGGCGCTGACCGCCGCGCGCACGCGCGCTCCGTGGCGCACGCGCACTCTCGGCCTCCCGCGGCCGAGAGCCTTTGTCTTGTGTTGGGGTATCTTCCTTGGCCGCCTCGGGGACGGGGCGAGGCAGGGTGCAGGTCCCGTAGGTCCCCTATGCGCCTTTCTTTTCCGCCGGCCCAGCGCGATGTCCCATCTTGGAGAGGTCCCGAGCGGGTTGCTCATAGCTGGCTCTCCAGGCGATCCAACCCGGACCCGGAGGCCTCCCCAGCGCGCCCGAAATACGGTCCTGGGATGGAGATCGCTTTCCCCGGAGCCGCTTTCTTCTTTGCATCCTTTCCACCTTTTTTGTTGTTGGCCAACGTAGGTGCTTTCCTTAATAGGCTCTATTGAAAACAGGCTAACTCGGTTGTGTTTTTTTGGTGATTTTTTTTAAAAATCAAGACTCATCCGAATCTATCATATATATCCTTGACCCTAGAAAAACATCTAAAATAGATGAAATTCTAATGGTGCCTATCACACTGCAAAGCTTTTTCGCATATCCGGCTATTGTACTGTAAGCAGAGCTTGAGCTCTGAATTTTTAAGTGCCTGCAGGAGATGGCCACCTGGGTGACACCCTCATACTGACCTGACCGGTGTCACTTGTCCTCAGGCCCTGGGCTTTGCCTTTAGCTCGGATTTCTCATATCCCCAACACATCATTAAACCCCAATGTGTGAGGGTGAGGAGCAGTCACCTCCTAATAGGGAGGTTGCATGGCATCGATTATTTTTTAAAGTGTACATTATAGATTAACGTAAAAGGCAAATAATTTAAAATGCTTTTTTTTTTTCTTTTGGCAGTGCTAGGGTTTGAACTCAGGGCTTGGCACTCAACCACCTGAACCACGCCCCTCTTTTGCTTTAGTTGTTTTTCAGATGTTATGCCCAGAGTGGGCCTTCAGTGGATCCTCCTACCTATGGCCTCCCTTCACTAGGATCACAGACACTCATCTTTATTGATTAGGGTTCCATGTCCAACCCCAGTCCCCCTTTCCTATTCTCCTCTGGCCTGGGGCTTCATTGTCCCCATTTCTGCCTCCCAAGTAGCTAGGCTTCTAGGAGTGTACCACCGCACCCAGCCCTGGAAATGCCTTTTTTTTTTTTTTTTTTTGGTCTTGGGGTTTGAACTAAGAGCTTTGTGCTCACAAAGCATATGCTTTACTGCTTGAGCACACCTTCTCCATCTTGCTCTGGTTATTTTGGAAATGGGGTCTTGCAAACTATTTGCTTAGGCTGGCCTCCAACCATGATCCTCCTGATCATAACCTCCCAAGTAGCTAGGATTATAGACTTGAGACACTGGGGCCTGGCTAAAAATGCTTTCTTTACACAGATTTAATTATTATCATTGGAAGTACTGGGTGGATGATGAAAATGGGGGTAATTTCTTAAGCCACTGGTTCTGAGTTTCTAGAACTGATCCTTGCTGTCTTTCCAATACCACCATCCTCCTTCAAGATCCCTACTTTGATTCTGGATGTTACTGTTTTCCCTGCTCTCACTCCACTTCTGCCAGTCCACCTGCACCTGCTAGTCAGCAGTCTTCAGAGGTAATCTTTTTAATCATGGTGTCTGCTGCTCAAAAATATCTAAAAGCTTCAAGCTGTCTCCTGAGTGAAGTTAATCTCCTTGGTTCAGCATTCAAGACCCCTCTTCCCCCCACACCCAAGATCTGAACCCCTGTCTTTCAGCTTTATCTCCCACCTACCCTGTGGCTGCCTGAGGTCGTTTAACCAAATCTCCCCACTCTGTCTTCCGGTTCCCCTTTGCCTATAAAGACGTCCCTGGTCTTTCTCTTCCCAGCAATATCCTTCCTAACCTTCAAACCCTAGCTCAAGCTTTACCAAAGCCTCCTCTAATCGCCCCAACTGAGAGGGACAGTACCAAGCTCTAGAAGGAGCTTAACAAAGTTGCTCACAAAGAGAGGGGTGGAATTAACATTTATCTTGCAGAGTTGGCATTTTATTTTTGTCCCCAGCAGCTGCCTTTTCCTGTGTGGCGATCACCCATTTTTGTCATTACAATCCATGACCACGCAGAAGCTTTAAGAGGCATTGTGATACTTCACCACTTTCGCTCTCCTTTCTACTACCAGAATCACATGTCCTCCAGGCTCTGATCCCACAATGAAAAACCCAAGAAAACAGACATAACACAGGCAAGAAATAAACATTTGTTGTATAAATCACTGAGATTTGGGGAGCTGTTTGTTGCCACAGCAAAGCTGATTAACAGAAATTAAACAAGATTGTGCATAAAGTTTCTTACATAGTGACTAGCGAATAGTTATTTCGTTATCTTCATAATTATTTGATCATCTTCACAATCAATGCTTCTGCTCCACAGTATTTTATTTATTTATTTATCTATGGTTCTGGGATTTGAACTCAGGGCCTCACATTTGCCAGGCAAGCAAAGCGGTCTACCACTTGAGCCAGTCTGCCAGCCTTTTTTGTGTTGGGTAATTTTGAGATACTGTCTCAAGAACTATTTGCCTGGGTTGGCTTTGAGCCTCAATCCTCCTGATCTCTGCTTCCCAGGAGCTAGGATTACAGGTATAGTAGCAAAATGCTCAGAAGTATTTTCTCTCTATGTGTAATCTGTAACAGTCAAATTAACTCTCTTCCACATTTAAATTTCTAATTATTTCTCCCCAAGATAGAGTATGATTGGGGTCTGGATGACACTGTAATCCCCTGATACTGAGGTCACATTTGGCCACACTAAATGGAGATAATGAATGCTAGGAACAATCTTAAGCAGATCTGTCCTCTGAATGTATGTGACGTGGAGTTGAGTGTTCTTTCCAGGTAATTTAATCACTGTAGATAGCTAATGGTTCACTAATGCTGGTGGAGAAAATGCATTCCATCTCTTCCCTGCCCCTCCCTCCCGCTGAAATCGAAATCTCCTGGCTACATATAGCACAAGTCCACATACATATGCAGAACCATAGAAAGTAGTTAGCATAGGGAAAGAATTGGATGTCAGGACAGGTGGATCTATGCCATCTTGTGTGACCTCAGGAAAATTCATTACCGTATCTGGGCTTCACGTCCTTTATTGAAAGGTGTCACAGGTAATGTTAGTACTGAGATCCAGATTTGTAGAACTTGGAAGCTCTGCCACTAATCTATTCACAAGGTAAACTAAAATGTCAAAAAAAAAATAGAGCCCAAAATGTAATGGTTCAGACACCTTAGTAGTCCAGGTGAATGTTCCAGGTGGGTGGCAGCCTCTTCCTCTTGAGGTTCTGGAACCCAGGCTATTTCCATCTTGTGGCCTTGTTCTTTGATTAGTTGAGGCTGGGTTGTTACCAGCTGGCAGAAGGGGAGGAGTGTACAAAGAAAGCACACTGGCTCTTTTAGAGGCTGCCTCTGATCACAGTCCACCATCAGAACTTAGTCACATGGCCATCCTTGACTGTGAGGGAAACCAACAAATGTCAGACAGTTGTGGGTCCAGGAAGAAGAGGAGAGAGGATTTGGATAGAAGTCAGTCTCTGCCACATATACTTTTTAATGTTAGGGGTAAAAGATCTAGGAAAAGAACTCGGAACTGTATATTGTAAGATTCTGCCATGTGCCTATGTTGGCAGACCAAAGTGGGCAGTGGGGTGGATAATCAGGGGAGAAAGGTACAGCCAAATTTTCAGTGAGTTCCTGAGAAAGAAGGTGTTGATGTGTACCTCTGTCTCAAAAAGTGTTTAACCTGTTTTATGCCATGAAACCCTTTGGCAGTCTGATAAAGCCCCTTATCTGAAGATTTTTTTCTTTTGGTGGTACTGAAATTTGAATTTAGGGCCTTGCACAAGCTAGGCAGATGCTTTACTTCTTGTGCCACTCTCAGCCCTTTTTGCTTTAGTTGTTTTTCAAATAGGGTCTTCTATTTATACCTAGGCCAACCTGGACCACTATCCTCCTATTAATGATTCCCACATAGCTGGGATGACAGGCATGTACCACCATCCCAGTTTTTTATTGGTTTAGATGGAGTCTAATGAACTTTTTGCCCAAGCTGGCCTCAAACCATGACCTCCCAATCTCTGCCTCTCAACTATCTAGAATTACAGGTGTGAGCCACTATGCCCAGCTTGAAGAATATTTTTAAACGCATAAAATACACAAGATTACAAAGCAATCCCTTTCCTTACAGTTATCAGATTTCCTTACAGTTATTTAGATTTCTGAGCTACAGTGTGTGATGGACCTGGAGATGTGCTGTCCAGGCCCCTTCAGGGTATTCGTCCCAGCTGTTGGAATACTGTCCTCAGACAGGCCTCCACTGTCTGAACCTCCAGGGATTGCCTCGGCTGCAAGGGTCACCCTGTTACTGGGAGACCTATGTCCAATGACTGATGGGTGGGGGGATAAAGGCAAGGTACTCTTGGCCCCACAATCGGCAAGCCTGATGGACTGTTTTAGCTCAGCTCCACAAGGGCCTTGAACTCAATTTCTTTCTAGACTTAGGCCTACTTTCTGCTCCTACTTCATCAGGCATTGGTTGCATGTTCTAATAAACATCCTGGGCCCTAAATTCTCTGCTGCTTAGGGAACTTGGCTCAGGGCAGTTAGTTTCAGGAGTGGTTCCAGGAAAGATGAGAAGGTGGTCACTTCCTGCCCAGTTGTCAGTGAGAACATGTCACTTGTGGGTGTTGGAGCACACAGCCCCTAGCACAAGCTGGCAGTCCAGTTGTTAAAATAGCAACTAAGGACAAATAGAAGGCTGTGGTTAAC